AAGTCAGACTACGTAATACCTCAAATTTAGTTTCAAATTGTTTGTTTCATGAAAATTAACTGCTACTGGTTTGGTAACTTGAAAAACATCATAAAAGGAAGTTTTCAGTGTGGTAATGCTCTAAATTCAAGTTTAGCTTACATTTTATTTGTGTGTCATAAAGAAAACCCATTTTAACCATGTAAGTTACTAACCTGTTTTCAGTTTTCTAGCATTTCTAAAACAATAAAAGTATGGTGATTAGAACAGTAAAATTTATTTTTTACATTAATTGTGATTTGCAATTAGTCTAAAACTGTGATTGCAAGGAATTTTAGAATGAAAAAATGTATTTCAAATGATGGAAACAATTTTGAAAATGCATTAAGAATTTTTTATTTTTTTTAATCTGTGTTTTAAAGGAGAAATACTGGCTTTATTATGAATGTTTCAATTCAATAATGAAATTGTTTCAACTGAATAATTTTGCCAAGTGCAATTTATACACACAAAAAGAAGGAATTCAATATCATAAATAAAAGGGGAAAAAAATGAATATAGTGGTACTGAGATATTTGAATCAAGGCAATATCCATTTTCCTGTTGAATGAAACTTTTGCTTTTCAGCATTGCAATTAATTGCTCAGTTAGCTTATGAAATTTAGAAGGTAAAGAGTGGCTTTGCATTTTCTAAATTATAGGTATAGAATTTTTGTCTTTTTTATTTTATTTATTTTTAACCACAGACTGCATGCACTGACACTTCTATGCATATTACAATTTATTTCTTCACTGCAGTGACAATATGAAGAAAATCTAGCTACTTGTGCTGACAAAAAAATGCTTTATATATATGCAAACATGCGTTCTTATGGTGCACATAAGATCTATATTGGTTACAGGATGCATGGCTGAAATCTGGACAAAAAAGACAGGCCACATCTTTAAATCATTATGGATTTTTATTTCTTAAATGTTCCTTGAACTATCAAAAGATCATCTGGAGGACCACACAAGGTTGGGTGTTTAAGAGATTTGGAGATTATAATAGAACGAGATTTCTAACTGCTTCAGGCTTTGAAGATTTCTAGTGATCTTTGACAATTAATCCCATCATACTTACTATCATGAAGTATGTTTTAGAATAGTATTTTGCATGACTAGATTTACTTTTAATGGACTTCTTTTTCCTGAGGAAAAACTTTAGGTGCAAGTAGCCAAATGTGTTATGGTCCTGTATTAAAGATTTAATGGTTCTAGTGAACATTTCAAAGCATCAAAAACTTTACCTGACTTTTAAACGTTTAAATGTATTTTAATGCACTTAAACTTTATGGTCTAAGACTCTTTGCTTCGCAGAGAGGGTTTTTCAGTGCACTGTAAAGTGTCTTAATGCATGCTGGGCTGTAGCGTGAATATATTTATTATGAGCAAAGAAAGGCAATTATTAGTGTCAGTTCAGAGGAGAAAGTTCTTTGATTAATTTCTAGGGCCAAGTGTAGTCCTCGGTCACACCCAGACAACCTCTGGAGGCAGTCACATGAGCACATTAGAGCCAAGGAGCTGGCCCTTTGCTTCCAAATGGATGAGCTCACCATACAGTGAAGTCTGGCCTTTCAGCAGCATGCAAAATTGGGAACACAAATTGTTCAGTGTGCATCTTGCAAGACTAAAACTCAGATGTGTTCTTAAGGCTTGAGGAAAGGAAGAAGTTTAATGAAACCTGTCAGCAGATTATCCCTTTCTAAATATTTGGAGCATCAACCTACTTTACATTTAAGGCTGTGACAGCTCCTAATTTTCAAGTCCCTGGGAAAAATAAAGGAGGCAATAAGCAGGACATGATTTATATTTGTTGTTTTCAGTTATTTACTCATTTATTACTATTAGAGGTACACCACATCCTGGCCACCAGTCCTGAACTAGAAGGAAATGTGGGATGTCACAGATGTGGTCCTGGGCTGGGATTGAGCAAGCTGGGGCTTGTCAAGTGCAAATTGCCTGCCCTTGCAAGCAGGACAAGGGCTGTGGTCTCCTTTGGTCCCAATCAAAGTCCTGTATCCAGGTTCTCTGTGGGCAAGCATTTATGGTCTTACCTGTGAGACACACTGAGAGGCATGGGATAAAATCTCAGTTCTGACATGATTTCCTGAAGGAGCAAGACAGAGCAGCAGGGACTTGACTACCCAGGGGAGACTGCGCAGGAACTGTGTCAGCTCCTGCTGTGCTGCCTTCTTTCTGCTTCCTCTGTCAGGGAGCAGCAGGAGACAGGCTGGTCCTTAAGGGGAGGTGAGTGAGGAGCTGAGGTTGACCCCAGAGCTGGCAGAGCAGGGGCCTGGGCCAGGCTGGCACATTGTTCCATGGGAGAATGGAACAGGTCTGACCATGAGAACCGTGGTCACGTCCCATGTGGAATGGCCGTGCAGAGCTGTGGGGATGGAGATGGGCCAATGCCAGGCCAGGATTTCAACCACTTCTTTTCAAGAACCCTTTGTACACCCATTTCTTGCCAGGCCCACCAGCCCCCATTTATCCAAGTCTTAATGCTCTATATGCAGAAGCACAATGTGTCTTGCAGTCATGGTTGTCCGATGTGTTGTTACTACCTGAAGAACTAACACTCGACACTTCTCCTTAGTCCAGATGCTACTGTAAATTTACACACGGTTTTTACCAGTTGCAGCTAACAATTACCAGGTGACCGTTACTTGAGAGCACCAAAAATTGAAAGATCAAAGATTCAGTTTTGGGCATTGATTCTCCACCACACACACATATACCCAGTCATTTGTCACCTGTTAGCATTCAGTTTAAGATATTTTAATATTTTGTTCTCCACCATCCCCTCAGACGATGACCCCTGCTTGTTATTTATTTCTTTTCCACAGTTTTTTTTCACAGTTCCAAGACTCAAGACACCTACTGTCTTCATCTGACTTACCAACATTTCCGAAGGCAGGAAGCAGCCTCAAAATAGGTTGTGAATAAAATATATAAAATATCAAGCTGCATAACTCTAGGTGATAGCTAATGGAAAGAAAGATAAATCATTTCATTAATCATTTATTTACTTTTACCATCCTTAACATAACTGACATATATATAGTGGATAAAATATTTAATTTAGGCACTCCTTAAATTCAGGATGCCAATTCTTTCTTGTTGATCTTCCTTAGATGTATTCAATATTGTCCTATACTAATTTCAGCCAATTTTTTTTCTTGAAAATCATTTGGCATTACACTTCCTCTGGGAGAAATATCATAAGAAATCTTTATATCAAACTTCATATATTTTTCTGGTCTGTGCCTTTTCTTAACAGTTTATGGTTATTCTGTGGTTAAGAATAACTTTTGTACTCTACTAAGTGTTAAAAAACAGCAAAAAGGGAAAACTGTTATGCTTCTGGAACGTTAATCTGTGCAAAAGTCTGAATATCCTTAGTTTAAAACTATGGTTTTAGAACAGGAGCTCTTACTGAGGTATCTAAATTAGTATTCCTCATGGAACGATATTTACTTTGTATAATTTAGGGTGTTTTACTCTGTAGAAATCTTTTTTCTTCTATTATTTTATGTATTTTCCTTTCTTAATTATGGCTCTGTGAAAGTCACAGAGCTGTACATTGTTAACAATGCATATTGTTTTATGCTGCTTTTGTGTGTGGACGTAACAAGGAAACCTACTACTTGAGCTTGTCAACTACTCTGAACAATTTCATTGCCATTTCAAAAATTTGTAAAGCAAATATGAAAAAATCATGTTGTTTCACTAATGATTCCTACTACTGGGGATTAGTACTTTTTCCGTGCTCAACTGATATAAAGAAAATACCTTGGCAACAAATAAAGTGTTGCTAAGAAATGTTACCTTAAAAAAAACCACAAAAACTTACAATATATAATATGGTATCTGCAAAACTATTTGTTAGTGATTATAAATTAAATAATAGATAATAAGTTATTACCTAACGTTAATTTTACGCTCATCACCATCTAATAAGGATGTCAGGGAGTAAGGAAACAAGCAAACAAGCAAGCAAGCAAGCTTGGGAAGGGAACTAATGTTGTTTTGTTTTGTTTTCCAAAACCATCTTTTTGAAATAATTCATAATGATATTTCTTTATAATTCCAAGAAAAAACACTACAAGAACTGCACAGCACAGCAGCCTCTCTTTTTGTTTGATAAAAGCATTCAAACTGTCAAAGTTCTCTCTGGTCACTCACCAGGCAGCTGTGTTTGGATTTCCATAGTGATTCCACATATTGAGAAAAGATCTTGAGTTTAAGGTACCTCTAAGCACTGGATGTTTCTGTGACCACTGACACGTTTCCTGAACACAAACCCTCCAGTCCAGCTGACTTTGGTTCCCAGGGTGTTCAGGCCTTCCAAACTTCTGCAATAGCTTAAGCACAACCTTTCCAAATTGCTCTGTCCCTCATTTTCTATCCTTATTCTATCTTATCAATTTAGGGATATGTGGAAAAGGACTGGAAAGCCACAATGACTATGGGATGATTAACACTCTTGTCATGATGATTGTCATGATGCTGCGATCAGATAACAATACAAAAATAGCACTGATAAGTAACTGTGTAGAAGAGAAATGCTAACTTTGCAGGGATTATAAATTATCTGTTCTTTAGACTTATCAAGTAGAACTAGACAAAAGAAACATGCGGAGCTCCTCCAGTTTGAGGCCAGTTGTTAATGGTGTACCTCAGAGGTAACCTTGGGGCCTGACTGGATGTAGCTGTGGACAAGCTGCTTTAGCTGACCTGTCTTGAACAGGGTGATTGGACAAGATTACCTCAAATGTCCCTTTCAACCTATAATATTGTGTCATTCTGTGAATACCTGTGTGTGAGTGTGCCTGAGTATACACATGTACATATACACTTGTGAATATATGAATATAAAACCTCTTTATTTCCGAATAATACTTCCTTTTGTGCTATAAACATAGTTTTGGACCAGGTTTTAAACTGATATCTGCTATTTTGAATGCATTAATATACAGGAACAGAAGAACTTCATGGAACGTTGCATGAAATACCTGGAGTGCAGTCCAAGTGCCAAGTCCCAGAAGGAGAAGGTAACATACATATATAATTGTACACCCACATCCACACAATCTTTTCACAATGTGGAACACATTTTGTTTGTATCTGTCATAGCTACTGTATGTTATTTTTTTTCATAGTATGTAATAAGAACCATTGCCTTGAGTTGATTATTGACTGCGGTCAAACTTCCTGCTACTGTTTGCAAACTAAAATTAAACAGGAAAATCTGAGCCCTCTATAGATGCATATGCAAACGTATATATGTACACACTTTCAGGAAGACTAAATTGCAGATGACTTCTGAATGAAGATCACTTCTAATTCAACATAAATCCATCTACCTCCGAAATATCTTCTAGTACTTCAGTGTTAACTCTTTCCTTCCTAAAACAGCTTTTTCACACATTAATCTGAAGACCTCCAACAAGGTAATGACCATTTTCAAGGATTTTGTTTCTTGCTACCTTTTCGTACCTTCTGGCTGGTGTAAATAGCAACCTCTGCAACCCAGTTATATTTATAATCAGATAGGACTGATATTCAAAAGCCATCTGGACATGGTCCTGGGCAACCTGGTGTAGACGGCCTGCTTGAGCATAGGGGCTGAACCTTACGGCCCCCCCAGAGGTCCCTCCCAACCTCAACCATTCTGTCATTTTGTGCTTGTGTGTCTGCCATAGTTAATAATATCTCTTCTGCAGTTTCCTGCCTTGTTGCAAACTTTTCCTAGATTCTGGTTGGAATGAAGGGAGAGTCGTCACTGTGCTATGGGAAAAATCCAAATCATTAGCTGGTGTGAGTTTTCCTAGTTACAGTGAGCCAAGTGAATTACACCATTGAAAAGCTGAGTTTAGAGGGTGAAGTCAACTGTCCATTGGTGATAAGGAGACAAGGGAATTAACCTCTGGTTCTTCAAGAAATCAAATTAAAATGTTCACCATGCTGTTAAGAAAAGAGAATGGAAAGGCAAAGGAAAAGATGGCTGGAGGAGTCAGTAAAAAGAACAACAGTTTGCTTAAAGAACTGGTGAAAAGAGAAAAAACTGAGCAAAAAAAAAAAACCCCTACAGTAAGCACCACCTTGTCTATCATGCCCAGCCATGACTTGGTCATGTCTAGCACCCAGCTGTATGAACGGTCATAAGTAAATAAATCCTTCTGTTTCCACTTGAAGTACACAAAATCAAACTGGTTTGAGACCTGAAATACAGTAACTGTAAGGTTTTCTTAATTTATCCTTCATCATGATGGATTACAGAGGTATTATTTTTGGACATTGCTTTATTTTTACTCTGTACTGTGTCACTATGACATAGGAAAAGAAACTCCATAATAATAACAACTGTATATACCTTAAGTATTCCACTTGAATCAAGGACTCTCTTAATGTGTGGAAATATTTGGCTCAGCAGTCATCTTTGGGTGAGTGGAGAGGGTGACTGGAACCCAGCTAATTGCACACTACTGACTGGGGGTAGAAGACTGTTGTCAGTTTTATTGGAAATTGAGAAATGAGGGAAATTTTTTCCACAGTTCAGAGCAAAGACTTCTGGTGTAATCATGACCATGTGTCTTGCATGTCCTGTTTTGTCATCACCAAAGATGATTGCAGCACACCATGTGGCTGCAATTCATTGGAAGCATTGCCAGTGGCCCATTCTAAAAGTCGCAAACCCAGTGTAGTAAATATTTAGGAAGAAGCAGGTGACTGTGAGGAAGGAAAAAAAAAACAAACCAACAGTCCCAGAAAGCAGAATTAAAGGTACACTGATGATGCCTGAGCACCTTGTTGCAGGTGACTACAGCCGTTGTCCCAGAGTGGTTTTGCCACATGAAGTCATGCTTTCTGAAAGGGTTGTGGTAGTAGTGACCCACATTCAGTAAGTAAATATATATATACAGTTTTTTTCTAGCCAACGCAATAAGTTGTAAGTAGCATTAGGAACACACAAGTAAAAAAGAAAACCCCCCAAGTTCAGTCTCCATATAGAGGCAATGATACAGTGAGCTTCTTAACATCTTTCCCCTAGCTATGCATGGTAGTGGGCTGTTCTAGAACCTCTCATTTATACCAGTTTTTGTGTTAATCAAACATAACATGAGCATTTTTCCTGTGTGTTATTACCTTTTAGCTAGATCATCATTCCCACACACAAGTGTATAATTCCTACATATATTTGTACAGCAAATCGTATTCTTTCTTCCTTCCACACTTCTAGACTAAAGAAGCCATATAGTTTTAATTGTTTTGTAAAATCTATTCTTTGTTGTCCTGATTCCTTTACTGTTATTTCTCATGTCACATTACAGTCTTATGCTTCTTCACAGTGTGCAATGTACAACTGCATTTCCATTGATAAGTCCAAAAGAACACCTAAGAGATAGTCTAAAAATAAATAAATCCAAGCACTATCTGTTATCTCTGTCTTCAGTATCAGTAATATTTCTTGATTCTCTGTAGCTAAAATTCACAAGTAATCTTGGCCATTGTGCTGTACTCATCTCTGAAATTCTTATCTGATCCCAAGACCACATCTTGAAGAACTTTTTAAAACACCCTTCCAGTCCAATTCAGCACAACTCACTGTCACCTCTCCTTTTCAACAGTTTATTACCTATTTTAGATTCAGGCAAAACACTTTATCACCTCCTTTGACTAGAAAACCTGTCATTTCACTCAGCGTATTAAACTAATGACTTTCATAACCATACACTGCAACTTATCTCATTTCCCACTTATTTACAAATTGTTAATTATCACTTATTTAGTAAATGACATTGCTTTTCATTTCAAAGCTTTTCTATTATGGACTGTCTGATCTACAAAATGCTAGTACAGTGGTAAAGCATTTCCTTCAGATTTGTGAAATACTGATGGAAGATTGAGCAACTTTATGCATTCATTTCCTGTATTTTCTTTCTTGTACATAGGCACATGCCAACTTTATTTTTTACATCTGTAATGCAAAACATCCAGTCTCATATTTTTGGCACAATCAGACTTTCTCGGTTTTCTTTCCACCATAGATATGATAACTAAGATTTTCATATATCACCATAGATATGATAACTAAGATTTTCATACATTTTTTCCAACAGTCATTTTTTTTCAGTGTTTATCTTTACATTCACATTTGGTGTAAAAAAGAAAAAAAGAAACTGAAGCTAATTTGTTCTTTTAGTTATAGAAAGAGATAAATATTTATGCCATACTACCATTTAGAAAATTTATCTTAGATATATTCCTACAGCATTTCCACCTCCCCCACTCCCCTTACTTTACACTCTCCCTCACCCTTATTCTGGAAGCTTTTATTTTCCATATTATTGCCTTTCTCAATTTAAATCTCCTAATCCTTTCTTGAGCACTGACTGTTGATCACCAAAATACTGCTTCGGAAAGTTAGGCCATGACCTTTCAATCCTCTCCCTGCTTTGACGTCCTGATTTGGCATAACATTTTGCTATTATAAGCAGTCACACCAGGATATGAATGCCTGAACTCAATATTAAAAGAATTATTGTCAGACAGAGACAGTCAGTGTGTGGTCACAAACATGTTTAAGATCCTGTGTCTATGCATATGCAGTTCTGAAGTCACCTTCATGTCCATAGACATCATACAGTCCTTGACATGGGGCAACTTAATACATATGTAGATATGCCCAAATATTTTCTTCTGTACAAGTATTCAGATTAGAATATAAAATGTTCATAGTAGCTGACACTCATAGCATGGGTATGACAGTATAAGAAATTCTGATATTCAGAATAGATCCACCTTGAGCAAGGACAGCCTCTTAGTAAAGTCTAAGATACAAATAAACAAGACCCCTCAGTATTTTTAGTGTTTATAAATTGAAGAAGTTTTAAAATAAGCTGAAGTAGGCAGTATTGCACTTTCTGTGGAGAATTCAGATAATAAAATTCTTCTTTTATTAGAAGAATCCAAGAATATACCCCCAAACTGTCCTGATTGGAAGAAGAGGTGGCTTATAAAGTATAACATTGTTAATCAGAATTATCTAGACATCAAATATGTCAAGTCTAATTATTTTTTACAATTCTTGGTTTATTATTTATTTTACAATTTTTAGTTTTTATTCTATTAAAAATAAGATCTTGTATTTGCTATCCATTAATGTACATTCACAGGCATATTTTAAGTTGGGCAGTAAGGCAATCATACCATTGATTCAGTCAGGGATTCTAGACAAGACAGGCCCATTATCTGGGCCCTTCTGACCTCAGTGGACATAAACCTTCACCTAGTAATTCACAAAGTCAAACCCCTTTCAGCTATGGCAATCAATTCACAGCACTTCCCGTTAACATTTATGGCCCACTGGTATTTATAATTGGGTCTGTGAAAAGGGTATGAGCAGTCAGTATGTGGTGTTTTTTCAGAAGGAACACTTCTTGCAGTTTATCTTTTTATTTTAAGGTTTTAGAAAAAACATGTTGTTTTCTTATAATTATTGACAAAAATAAAATGAAAGGAGAACAAAAAAGTTCAGAGCAGAATCTTTAGCTAACTGAGGTTGAGTGTGACATTTATGGGAAACCATCCAAAATAGTTTTAAGCTTTTAGTAACTCCAGTGTTGTTGCAAATATTCATATGAAGATAGTACTTCATTTGGCGGTGATCTTTGAAGGAGAGCACTGATCTTTGGCAGAAGCTAAAGATTTCATTTGTTTTAACATTCTCAATTGAGCACTGAATCACTGCTGCATTTAAAAAAAAAAGAAAAAAATTGTACCTCATTTTTTGTTAAAACACATTTTATAAAATAATATGGAAGCCAAAACACTGAGATAATTTTATGTTGAATGTTTTCTGGCTGTACTTTATGCCTTATAATACCTTAGAGAGACATTCTTATAATCACCACACCTCTGTTTTTGCATTCTGGCTCACATCAGATGTATGTGAGGAGGCAGGATGTGCTAAACTATAACAGACTGAACTTACTTAGAAGTTTGTGCTGAGCTGATTGCACTCCTTACTCTCAGAAAACTGCCCTAAGAG